AAAACACACAACCCACACACGCACACACACACACACACACACACACACACACACACACACACACACACACACACACACACACCCAAAGGGTTTCCATTCACCACAGAAACCTCCATATTATCTGTGGTCACTCTGTCCTTTTACTGTTGGCATCGCAGCTCTACTCTTTGAAACTCGTACTGCAAAGTAAAACTATGGTGAACTTTTGACACCTGCTCTTTGCACCACATTTGGACCTCATCATCCACTACATTATTTATATAAGCGGTATTTCATGGCCATTAGATGGCAGTGCCTCTCTGTTGTCACACTGGTTCAGACATTGCCATTAACTTATCAATGAAGAACAGTGGAACCAAAACGTCAATTATGTCTTCATTTAGTCTCCCAAATCAAGGTTAACGGCCCATGTTAAAGTTTCAAACTAGGGTAAAGATTGAGGGTTTCAAGGCAAAATTAGGGTCTAAAACAAAAATGATTGTTACATAGTCGGGGTTTTCAGTCATGCTGCTTCAGGCATTGTACTTGGTTTGTTTGAAGTCAGGGTTTGGATCACGAGAATTCAGATGGGATTTTAGCAAGGTTTAGAGATTCAAGTAGGGCTGTACTAATCGTCAGTGCTGATACTGTACGTTTGTACTTGTACTCGAAAAGATGCTCCGATACTAACACACTGATACACCTTACCAGCCCGACAAATGCCTTCCGGGCAGGTGGAGTAGGAGCCATGTCAGCCGTTTGGGGATACTGTGAGGTAAACACAGGTGACAGCACTTTGTTGTTAGCCGACTGCAAATAATGCTCTGCAAAATGGATAATGGACTCCACTTAGGTTGTGACCAAGTCCGCCTTCCCGCGAGTTGCGGCGGTGGGCCATCGGCAGACACCAAGTTTCTTGAGGCCCGTTGCCAGCTCTGCTCCGCACAGCTCGTCTCCAGCTGAGCTTGCAGCGCGACGCTTCAAGTAAAGAGAAGTAAACGATAATGCCATAAAGTATCACTTCGGTTTTCCTGTCACAATTTGATTTTATAACTTGTGGTATTCGTAAGAAGCAGTTCTTGCTTTACTTTGGAAGCATTTTATTTTGTAGTTAACACACAGAGGTAACATCGTATCCCGATTTCTCTTTGTTCGCCACCAGACACAACATTCTTCAATCGTTCTTAATTCTCCCTTATATCTTTTAACTACCGGTACTGTGTGTACTCCTTTGACATAGTGTTGAATCAGAAACACGACATATCTGAAATGCCTTTTGTGTGGCACACTACATTCAAATGAAACGTGTATCAAGATTAGACTTAACAGCAATATAATCAGCGGGATCATATCGGACGATGTTTTGCATTTTATGCACATTTTGTGATTTGCCTTCATGATTTGAACAATTATGTTTTTGATCGGATCTGCACATTAAGACATTACAGCTGAAGTTTTACCCACATATACATTTAACTGTAGCGGGCCACCACAAATGAATTTTGGCCGCTACTCAAACATTTTGGCACTACCTGTCACGATCAAACTTTAATTGCTGCACGGAAAGCTGCTCTGCTCGCGGTCCTTTTGTGAGTCTGCCAATTAATACCGTTGTCAGGTTTGGCACTGGTCATGAAAGTTTTAAGCCCATTCCACATTCAAGTGTAATTAACCCGGACATCAGGTGTTTGTGGCGGTGGTTGCCGCCTGTTTCACCACTATTTTGCTATGCGCACCAGTTATGCATGCACTTGGCAAGGACATTGTGGCCCAAGGAACACATAACACTTCATGATGTTGAACAGATCAGTAAGGTAGTGGGAATTGCGCCGAATTGCCCCAGATGAAATGAGGGCACTTATGTAGTGGGGATAAGAATATGTTCGATAAGAATATGTTAGATAGGATGGGGCCACTCCCGCTGTTCCTTGGTTGCATCAGCTCATCCATGTTTTAGCCCCACCCCCCAAAAAAACAGGAACAACTGAGAGCACAGTTGTCAAAACTCAAGGCCCGGGGGCCAGATCTGGCCCGCCACGTCATTTTATGTGGCCCGCGAAAGCAGATCATGTATGTCAACTTCCATGATCCTTTCTAAAATGAGTACCGAAATGTCAAATTGTCATGTGTAATAAATAACATTGAGATTTTGCAATTATTTTCTGACCATGTTTACACTCACTTGAACAATAAGTGAACAAACAACAAACATGTAGCTGAATGATTTCAAACCTAGTAATCCATCAATTTGTTGTGGACAAGTAATCATATTATGTGATGATTAAACATTAATTTGGCCCTCCGAGGGAAGATGTAACTCCAAAGTGGCCCTCGACAAAAATGAGTTTGACACCCCTGACTGAGAGGGTGAAAAAGAATTTCCCGCTATCTGTCAGCAATTCAGTACTAAATTGTTCTCAGTCTTTGCCGATGTTTTCAACACTTATTTCATGCATTTAAAAAATACACAAATGACTTTGCAGGGTTTTTAATGTTTTGGAAATGTGTTTTGAATGAGTGAGTGCTCACACTCGTGCAGTAGCAGCGAGCAACAGTTACTTCGATGTTTGCCTTCGCGGCTAGTAGAAGGCTGCTCCGATGAAATGCTAAAATCCATGGTAACTTGCACTGGGTCTGCCTCATCATTGAGCCGCGGCTCTCGTTGGCTTGGGTTTGAACAAGCGAGTTCATCGTCTCTTCCAGGGCTTCTCTGACTTGGGAAAAGGAAGGTGTCCAATGTTATTTGACCCTTTATCCCTGACATGTCACACCAACGTTCTTGTTGTAAATGTGTCGTCAAGCAAGGTTAGCATTGGGTCATGAAACATTTTAGCCAATGTGGCTAAAGAGTATAAAAATCTCCCAGCTGCATTTGAATGTAGTTAGCCGAGACATCACTTGGTTATGGTAAGCCCTCCTGTTTCACTGCTATCTTGCTACATGGGCTGGTCATTGTACATGGCAGCAACATTGTAGCCCAAAAAAACAAAACACATCTCACTTCAGGGAAATGTATTTTTTTTTTAGGTTATGGTCAAAGCTTGATGGCTTGCTGCATGATGTTGCACTGGTAGAAATGGGCCAAGTTATTATCTATAAGGATGTGGTAAGTGTGCTGTATCGCCCCAGATGAAAGAAGGGCACTTATGTAGCGGGGATGGGGTGACACATGCTGTTCCTTGGTTGCATCAGACAGTCTGCGTTTTAGCCTTGCCCTACCAAAAAACAAACAAACAAACAAAAAAAAAGGGACAACTGAGAGGGTGAAGAAGAATTTCATGCTAAATGTCAACACTTCGTTATTAAATGATCTCAGGCTTTACACCTTTTCAACACTTACCTTCATATATATTTAATGTATTTAAAAACGCGTAAAAATGTTTGGCAACTGTTTTCTAAACATTTATTGGAATGCGATTTTCATTCGATATTTACAATACATTCAAATGTGATCATTACTTTTTATTTTCCTACATTCGAGCACAGTTTTAATGTTTGAACTGTGAAGAATCACGCACTGGTTTACAATAATAAATACAAGTGTATTTTAAGAATAAAACGTCTACCTCGTTTTTTTTTTTTTTTAAGACCACTTAGTCCCACTATGTTATTGTCCTTTGTATCATGACGTTTTTTCCGAATGGTGTTACTTGTAAAATGAATGTTCTTTTTTGTTTGTACTTGGTTTAAAAATTTCGAGAACCACTGTCCAAAAACAATGATTGATACTATTGTTACAGATTGTTATAATATAATATAATGGCTGTATACAGGTAGTTACCACTATATTTGCCACATTTAATTTTATTATAATACATTTTATGATGACGTTATGTCCAAGGGTGCACATGATTTGTTTTCATGGGTTCCTCACATGAGTACCAAGAGATTGTGTTTGGTACTCACTGTGTGGTCGTAACTAGGGTCTTCCTCGATGTCCTCCTCCTGTGTCATCTAGCTCTACTTAACTTGTTAGCAGGTTATTTTTTTGCCAAAGGACATGGTGTTATTTTACCGAACAACGGACTTCAAGGTGATGCTGAAAGTTGGAGCTGGCCCAAAAAACACCGGAGCTAGTACATCACAAACAGGGAACTCCTTGACTTGTACTCCATGTATCCATCTGGAGGTGTTAGTTTGACACAATGTAATATTATTGCAGGAGTTGCACTGAGGCAACGGGTCTTTTTTTTTTTTTTTAAAGAAAACTAAGCCAAACTTTATTTCGGCGTGCGTACACCCCATGCACGCACTTCTTGGGTTGAGCTTCCTCTTAGGGTAAGCACGTCGCAGACGAGCACTTGTCGACTTGGCTGCGCTTAAAAATGCCTTTGTTCTCAAAATTTCCTTTTCCTTGGTTGTAATTGTGGTATAAATCTAACGTCATACCTTAGGGCTCTGTCTACAGCATGCAGAATACCGGGGTCCAAGTTTTCTTCCAGATTTTTAATTTAATTTTTTTTTCTTTGAACATTTTAGTGAACACATTTTGTCTTGATATTGATCTTGTGTCCATTACAATACGTATTCATGTTGATTTATCACGCAGCCCTAATAACTAAAAATACGTTTTATTTATTTATTTTAATAGTGGGGGGTTTTTTGGCCTTGTTTTTCCTTCCTGGCAGGTGGTAGAGGCAGCCAACGCCACCACCTTCAACTGCCAGGTAGACGGCGGCAACCAGACACAGGTGCTGGTGCCCAGCTTCGACTCACGCCTCTACATGCTCTGCTTCTTGCCCGCCTTCATCCTTCTGGTCTTTACGCCCAACCTTAAGTACTTGGCGCCGCTCTCGCTCATCGCCAACTTGGTCATGGCCACCAGCCTGGTCCTCATCTACTTCTACTCCATCACGGTAAACACCACTGTGTATTTTTTTTTAAGCTTCTTCTGTGCTCACACGTGAATTGTCAGTAGGACATATGAGTCGCCTTTTCAAAAATGCCTGTGAGATATGCCTGCTGGACATTTGCATAAAAAGCTATCACTTCACTCCAAAACATTCAAAATGGTTGGGTACAGGCGGTGAATCATAAGTAGATTGATGGAACATTTGAATGGCGAAAAACCAAACCTAAAGATCAAGCTAACATTAAGAATAATATAAAAACTTGGGATATGCCACACACAAGTATGATTTCAAGGCAGTGTTTCAAAGTGGTTGTTTTTAATCAGTGGTTGTACTCACTCTTTTTTCTATATTGGCGCAACACATTGTGGTATCGGTGGCTTTTCTAGAGAGCATTGGCTGTTCACTACTTTTAAATATTCTTAGTGGGAAACGTTGAGTGGAGTTTTTGGGATGTCAAATGTTCAATGACATTTTATATTTTCCAATGGTTTAAATAATAAACATATTTTGTTGAGTTCTGTCTCTTAATTAAACATCAGAAGTGTGCAGTGTTCCCTCCAGGCTGCGGGCGTGAGCAATTGTGCACTGCTCTCACCCTCTCAATGCACATGGTGACAGCTGGCGCGTACCACGCACACACTACATTTTGACACTCATTTCTTCATTTCCACCCCACTTTAATCTACAAACAGGAAACTAGACTATTTCCACTTCCATTTCAATTTCAGTAGTGCGACTGAAGTTTGTGACACACTCACTGACATTGACACACTCACACTCTCCATGGACGAGAGGCTGCAGGCGACAGAATCAGTAAAGGCAAATCCATAGACAGATATTTGTGACAGTGACATGTTGAAATGTCATATACTTTGAGTCAACCTGCAACTGTACTGTTATTGGTAAAATATTGCTGTTTTGACCATCAAGGAAATGCAGCAATAGCAAATTCCCTAATGGAATGATTCATATATCTTATCCATCTAACTATGAAAACAAATATAGGAGCCATAGTATATGAATGATGATGGTTATAGAGTTGTTATGGAAGTTAATTGAAACAGATTAGCATCTCTGAGATTCGGGTATCAAATTAGGATCTCAAACTTGAGTTAGGCTTTCAAGTCTGGGTCAGAGTTACAAACAAGGGTTATGGTTTCAAGCCTGGGTTAGAGGTTCAAGCAACGATTTTGGGTTTAAATGTTTTAAGACAGCGTGAGGGTATCCAAGTTCTGTGTGTGGCTATTGTGTCCAATGTTGTTCTGGCCAGGACACTCAAGCTTTTTAATCTCAAGGAGGCTTTGCTGGTTAAATAATTTCAAATAAATAATGAAACAATTAATCCAGTTTTCTCTTCCATTGTTCTCTTCCAGCACATCAAATACCCCATCGACCTTCCGTTGGTGGGCCAAGCCAAGGACTACCCGCTCTTCTTCGGGACAGCCATCTTTGCCTTTGAAGGGATCGGAGTGGTACGTGCAAGAACAACAAAGAAAGGGGTCACATGCACACGCAGACACACACACGGGAAATAGGTTGACACTCAGTTGTCGCTGTTGTCTCAAGGTCCTCCCGCTGGAGAACAAGATGCACAGGCCACAGAGTTTCCCCTTGGTCCTTTACCTGGGAATGGGCATTGTCACCTTCCTCTACATCAGCCTGGGCACCATCGGCTATATGTGCTTTGGCGCCGACATTGGCGGCAGCATCACCCTTAACCTGCCCAACTGCTGGTAAGAAGACATCACAAGTGTCTACATTTACTCTAGTTTGGGTGTCAATTACTTGTGACTGAAAGAAGACCTGCGTGGCATTTTTGAGACATCTTAGCAACTTTTGTGTGCAGCGCTGAGTGTTCACTACTCAGTTCGGGCTATTTGGCTTTCAGAGGAAACATAGAATGAACGTAAAATTTGTGATAGCCTTACACAAGTCCCGCTGTTAAATTTTAGAGTACTTCTTTACACAACTTGCCGTTCTCTAACAAGACCAAAGACATAATTACCACCGGCTCTTGATTTAAATGTCAGTTATACAAAAAAAAAAAAAAAATGCCATTTATTACCAGCAGAACCAGAGAACTACTGGACATCATTTGAGATTTATTGCACTGTTCCAGTAAAATCTGACATATGGCCACTCCACACACACACACACACACACACACACACACACACACACACACACACACACACACACACACACACACACACGTTCCATTCAGTCTTTCGTCTTTCTGTTTTGTTCTGTGTTTCCTGTTTCTCCCTTTTGTGGTGTCGCCACATAAGAAAGCTAAAAAAAAAGTACAGGTCACTGATACTTTGTTGTCCTGTAGTATACCGTTGCTCATTTTCTTCCTTCTCCCTCATCTTCATCCAGGACCTACCAGGCTGTTAAGCTGCTCTACTGCTTCGGCATCTTCATCACGTTCGCTTTGCAGTTCTACGTCCCCGCGGAGATTCTTATCCCGTCGGCCGTAGCCCGCGTGTCAGAGCATTGGGAGAGGGCCGTTGATCTTGTGCTCCGCGCTGTCCTTGTCATATTTACATGTGAGTACTTATTAAATTGTGTCGCTAGTAGTCAGGTTTTTATGATCGATCATCATCAAAGTGGTATACACAAAGGCCCGAGGAGCAGCAAAACACACTTGTCTCTTTTCCACCAACAAGACCAGGAATTTTGAGTTCCTGGTAACACAACGTCCTGGTCGTAAAAGGTTTCTGTGACCTATGTGGTTTGCATTCAGGGTAGTTCAGCATTTCCCCCATGAAGGTTTTCCATGGGCGGCCAGCCGATGTGTTTTGACAGCTCCCTGGGAAGATGAAACTCGAAGTAAATGGAAAATAACATGCACACTCGTACAGTACAGACATACAGAGGAAAAGCTCCACTCTGTAGGTCGGTCTGTCTGTCTCTCATTGTGCTGGGCTGCTCCAACACACATGCACACGTACACGTCTCCCCCGCCAGCCCCACGCATCTCGTTAGTGCCCCTCAGCTCCACAGCACTTGCACTGTGGCCGCAACATCACACAGCCTTCAAAACTGGTGTGTAAGAGCCAAGTCAAGTCAATTTTCCATCCCCTACTTTGAAAGCATTCAATGTCCAAAAATCGAAAATGACGCATTGTTGTATTTAACGCTATCTGTATCTTAAATGTAGGGTTAAGGTAATGGAAGACTGTTTACCAGACTGACATAAGGCAAAGCTGAAATTAGTTAATTTAACAGGGCTCGACACTGCGACCATTATGCTCGCAAATACTCCCATGTTTTTCAGTGTGGGCTAGTAAATATCTCATCCGGTTGCACAGCGTGAGTGCATGGTTTACTGCTCCTACTGGTACATACACCAAAGGTGCTCCAACTCTCTCTCCGTCTGTCAGATTGCACACAAAATGTGTAACGTGCGTCAATTTAAATCCATCCAGCCATCATCCATCCATCTATCCATCTATCCACTTTCTTATCCGCTTATCCTCACAGGAATCGCGTGCAGCCTATCCCAGCTGACTTCAGGTAGTAGGCGGGGTACACCCTGAACTGGTTGCCAGCCAATCGCAGGGCACATATAGACGAACGACCTGATTCACCATCCCATAAGATGGCAGTAGCTTCATTACGTTGTTAGATACCTATTTTATTAAATGTAATTTTTAAACATCCTATGTTTGTAATTATGAGTAAATTACATTTATAAAAATATTAAATGTACATACCTGGGTCAGTTGAAAGGCCTTATGTAAATGGTGCTATATAAATCAGTTGTTGCAAGTAGATTAAATATGTTCACCCCAAAAATCCCCTTAATTGCAGGCTTTGTAAAGAATTCATCTCAACTGCATTTTAAGTCAAAGTTGAGGGCTCTTCTACGTGCGCTGAAAAACCATTTCCTTGACTAACCCCTCTATTTCGTCTACAGACAAAGCAGCTGTGTTTGCGTACCCAAGATTTGAATGAATGCTTATATTACTCCGCTGATCTTGTTTGCTCAGTTTGAATCTCTCCCTTTTGAACAGTTTCAATAAAAACTGAACCTTTTAATTATTCTCAAGGGAGGAGTTCATGCAGACCTCTAAGCGACGACAAAAGTGCTTGGTTACTGAATGCGCACTCCACCTTCTCTTGATAAACATCCATTGTGGGAATTGTTGCGAGAGAGTCAAGGGCAAACCTGCAGCAGAATCCCCCGCGCCGGCTTGCGCTCGCCTTGGGACTTTCCTTCATTAAACCGTGTTTGGACCCTATAGCGACTCATGCCGACATTCATGTTGATAAGCCAATAAAAGGGAATAAATGCATACATGCACCACTTCACGTCCGCAGGTCATTCCGCAGGCAGCCCATGATTTTATTAGCACTGTCGTGGGTTGAATGTGGAATTCAGAAGACAGGCTTCGGGTTGGGATGAGGAAGGCTGGGTATCGAGAAGAGTTGCTTTTGCAAACGAATCGTTTCCTGAACGCAGGCATAGCGAATGCCTCATTGGACTTCATTCTTTGAGGTGATCACATTGCGCTTCCTGGTTCCCGACCGTCCTCCAGGGATGCTTTTTACTCTGTTAATCTGAACTCATCCTGTTCTCAGACAACTAATTCCTATTTAAGTGGGGTACGTGGAAAGAAACTGGCACATTATCAGCAATATAGGAGAATGATACACCCACTGTTGTGTCTTTCGACTTGTCCCAACGTACAGTAATTACACTTTATAAGCCCTTTTTTCATATAGTCATACCTCAATTTTTGACGATAATCTGTTCAAGAAGGCGATTTGTTTGAAAACTGAAACCACGCTCAGTTTCAAAAAATGTTTATTGAACACGTCTGCTCACAATAGAACGCTACACGAGGAAGCGTCACTTCCTTGTCTACCCGAGGAAGCGTCACTTCCTCGTGTAAGGAAGGCGAGAGGAGTCAAGTGGCGCATTTAAGTGCGCTCAGTTTGGTCGAGAACCGATTATCGGTCGTAATCCGAGGCATCAAAAAAATTTAAATTTTTGGTCAAAAACCGATTTGGTCGAGAACAGAGACGTTCGAAAACCGAGGTTTGACTGTATACATTTTTTTAGGCTTTAATGCAATATGGTGGTCATTTTGTTCATTAAAAACAAAAATGGATGGTGTCTTGGGGGTTTGAAACAGATTAATGGCAGTTCAGTTAAGAAAAATGAGGAAAATTGATTTGATTTGAAGTAAATTGAGTTCCACGCTTGGTTTCAGAAATGTGTTAAAAAGGTTGTTCACATTTTTGATCACCATCCGCAAACTCATATTAGACATCATTATGTGGGAATGATTGTCTTCCCTTCACTCTGCAGGAAATACATAGTTGCTGACATGATGAATACTGTACGCATTAGGCCAAGTTTCTTTATTGAAAAAAAAAATGATGCTAGTTTTGTGACACTGAAAACACTAGCCTTTGCTGTTGCTTGCTTGCTTGCTTGCATCACCCACACACAAAAGCATTTGAGGTTTTAGTTTGACTTCATAAATACTTTGCAAGGGCTGGCCGGAGACTGAGGATAGGCCAGGTGGGGCCCATACCTCGCTGATAGAGTGTAGTTTGTAGTAAAGTGTAGACTGTAGATGGTTCACACCACTCGCACATCAATGTCTGTCATCGTACCGAGACTGACCTGTGACAGGCAGTGCAGGGCCACGGGGTGTTCAGACTACCGGAAAATACACGCTTAAACTGTTAACGTGCTCTGGGTCGTTGGGGTCTCTCTTTTGCTCAGCAACAGAGTAGTAAACTCAATGTGAACATGAACAAAAGTGTCTCTGAACTGGGATCGTGCCGTTGCTGATGGGGCAAAAGGCGTGCGTCTATTTGCAGGCGGCATTCATTTGTCTTAAATGACAGACGCAGTCAGCGATTTGAGGAAATAAGGCGATTACATGAATGAGAAATGATTGGCAACTGCTTGAGTAATGAGAGAGGAGGGTGAATTATAAGGTGGCTTCCATGATGCCTATAATTGCAACAATAAAGTGCATGCGCCTCTTGTGGGTTGTTGTCATTCACTATAATGCACCATTTTCACAGCGTTTTCAGCTGGGTGTGCTCTGTTGTTGGCTCATTTCATTGGTGTCTCTTCTCTAGAGGGGTTTGCATGCACTGTTGAGTTGTTGATGGCAACTAGATAGGACGGGAGAATGTTTTGCGAGCTTGCAGTGCAAAGGTAGCATGCCGCGGGGGATCCCCGTGCCGCCACTCAATGGGGCTGTCGTGTTCCCAGCTTTCCGCTTTTGAGACATTTGTTCACCTTTAACTTTACTATGAGCTGGTTCACCTCCTGCTGCTGGTTGGATGTTTGAGTTCCATCTCTGCTTCCAATCCTCTCAAGCCCTTAAGATAAAATTGCAGAGAATATTTCATTTCACCCCCCCATGTCACAGGGCCTCAGTTTGAGAGCCACTGCGCTACCATAAAGTTCATTTTTTTCCTCCAAATTGTTTTCCTCATAATCTGATGCAAATTTTTCCTGGTAATCTTGATTGTGTTTTCCCATTTTACACATCGAGGCAGACGTCATTCATTTCAAAAATGTTTCAAGGGCATATTTGTATGGATTTATTCATGAAATATTAACATTACAAATTCTGAGAATAATGTTCCCTTTTTATTTTTTTCTGATTCCCAAAAAGCATAAATGTGGTTGTCTTGATGTTAAGAGACAATTCATGTACATCAAACATGACTTAAGATTTTCCTAACTCTCTTCTAACATTACACAAAAGTTATGTTTTTACCCAAAGTGAAAATTTGTGTCCTCTACAAAAATTACATATTTAAAAAAAATCGGTAACTTTGCAAATGTCATGAATCCATCCATCCGTTTTCTGATCCGCTTTATCCTCACAAGGGTCGCGCTGGAGCCTATCCCAGCCATCTTCGGGCAGTAGGCGGGGGAGACCCCGAACCGGTTGCCAGCCAACAACCATCCATGCTCACACTCACACCAAGGGACAATTTAGAGTGTTCAATCAGCCCGCCATGCATGTTTTTGGAATGTGGGAAGAAACCGGAGTACTCAGAGAAAGCCCACACAGGCAGGGGAGAACATGCAAACTCCACACAGGGAGGGAGGAGCCGGGATCGAACCAACGACCTCTGCACTGTGAGGTCGACGCGCTAACCACTGGATCACCGGGCCGCCCAAATGTCCTTAATGTATAATATAAATAATTTTTAATTATAATTATTTACTTGACAGTACTTTATCTGCAATCAGGCTTTTCTTGCTATTGCCTGTCTTTTCCTTGGGTTAAATGATTGTTCAGAAATATGTCAGCTCTTTTCAACCTGCGTCTTCGTTTCATCGGTGCATCCTTTTGTTACCTGTTCACAAACGCCAGTATCATTGGTGGTGTGTCACTGTTTTTCTTCCTTGGGGGGGAGGATGCCAAGCCACGATGTTTTCCACCTCCAACTCAGCTCCTCTGTTTTGGAGAAAGGCAGTCAGCTGTTGCTCCATGGAGTTCACCTCCAGCTCTGTAGTGTCTGACCCGGTGTCTGTGGTCACCCCATGCGCATTGGACCTGGGCATGATGTATATTCTGATGACAAGTACTTCATTTATTCTGGAGTATTGCTCCAAATCCTCTAATTTACTTTCCTGGTCCGCAATGCGTTTATCCTTTGATTCATTCCTGAGGCGCAGCCATTTTAAACTGAGGAAATGGTGTTTGACCCTAAATCAATCCGAGACCATAGCCCCATCTCTATAAACGGCACAAACATCAAGCAGGTCTCCTCTTACAAATACTTGGGATTTAAATGGATTGCAGGCTTAACTGGCAGACACATGTATCAAATGTCTGTTCGAGGATCCATCAGCGCCTTCATTTTTTGCGACGTCTGAGGATATTTGGAGTTGGCAGCAGCATTCTGTTGATCTTTTATAGAGCAACCTGAGTCAGTCCTGAGCTTTGGAATAACCAGTTGGTTCGGGAACCTAACTGTTAAATCTAAGGTTCAGATAACCAGCTTGGTTAAGACAGCAGGGAAGTTAATCGGGCAGCCCTCACCCCCTCCTCCCCAGGACATATATGTGCAGTCTGTTATTCAATAGGCCAACAACATTTTCGACAATCCTCCCCATGTGCTACACTCCCAATTCGAGCTCCTCAACTCAGGAAAGAGGTATAGGACTCTTCTCTGCAAATTAAACCAATATAAAAACTCATTCATACCGCAGGCTACCATCTTAATCAATAAAAAATTAGAGGGAGGCAGACAGACAAGCGGAAGGACATGAGGGCAGTGGGGGGTGTGCATATGACTGTAATGTAGTGTCCAATGTGTGTGGAGTATATATTGTCTTGTATTATATGTGATTGTCCAATTTATGTTGTGTAGTGTACGTGTACGTTTTTGCTCAATGTATGTAGCACCACAGAGGGCCTGTCCTCCGAGACAAGTTTCTCCTATGGGAGACCAAATAAAAGTCAAATTCAATTCAATTCAATTCTACTGCCGCAGCAACTCCGCAACATTTTTTTCTGTTGCAACTAGACAAAAGACACTTCCTCCGATATGAAGTCAATTGATCCCCCCCCCTCCAATCTAGCTCCTCTTTGGCCATTTGTTTCTTTGGCCTCATTGCTATTTCCGCAATTGTGACGTTGAAGACTCAGACCACCTGTTTGAGGAAAAAACAAACAGCGGAAACCCGTACGCTTTGCGCCCAAGTGCTTTTGTGTTCTACGCCAGTTAAGTGCAACTATCTCGTCATGTTGTTATGAGGGGTGTTACCACAGTTACTTCTCTGACTACTTAATTTCGGGATGGGTACGGAGTCCAGGTACTAAACTGGGCCTTGGGGTGAATAATTAAGCAATTAACCAATGTGGCCTACTTTTTTCTAGGGTGTGATAGCGAGGGTTTCTCAACAGTTGCAATATAAAACAAAGGCAGTCTTTTGATCTAACTTATTTAATTCTTAATACTGTACTGGTAAAACCCAATATTTACCATACAATGTACATTGTTTATAAATATAACTAAAAAAAAATCAGGGACCTGCCTGCATTTGTCACCTGCATCTGCTTCACACAAGCTTGGTATAAGCTTGAATTTACTGTGATGCAACTCTAAATGTTTCTTAATTTTTTTCCATTTCTTTTAAAGGGACACTTGTCTACACTAAGGAGTGCACAACCAACCTCAATGTTTTCATCTGGTGCCAAACTCAAAGTGGGCCAAAATTAAAAACTGGGATAAAGTTGTGGAGAGACTGGATGGATGGATGGATGATAGTGTTTTGTTTTTGCTTTTTACTGAAAAGTAGTGCTTTTGGAGGTGCAAGTATTCCGCACGATAGCGACGACATGCCAGATATACCAATGTGGCTATGATGCACCAATTGTTTCTGTAAAATAGCCACACAGTACCATCTTCCCCTTAGTTTGTCATTTTTTTTCATCACTTTTCTTATAGTTGCTGGCGTCATGTTACCCCCAGATTGATTATAATAAGCATTACGTAAACATTCATTGGACATTTGCAGCGAATGATCCATTTTCTCTCTGGCTGTCTGAAGGTAAACATGTATGTCATTTATCAGTCTACTGACGTATTCTGAGCAAAGACGGATCATCTCAGTGGACACATTCTATATCTCGTCTCGTCTATTTATTTATTTATTTTTTTGAAACAAAAATGATTGACGGCTATTGTTTTTTCTGCCATACATCCATCACCATCATCATTATTCTTGAAGTCTGTGAAGACCAGTCAATAGGTTCTCTGAAGCTTGTTCTAGAGATTTTTTTTTAACGAAGAGCATCAGCATTGTGTACCTATTTTTGAATCGGTTACGTTTGCTCTAGCTAGCTAGCATGATCACAGCACACCTCTGTTTTACGTTCACATAATTTTACATATGCCGTTAGCATTCATTTCATCTAACATGGTCACAGCACACCTGTAATTTACACACACCGTTAACATACACTGTTAGCATTAGCTAGTTAGCTAGCAAAACCACAGCACACCTCTATTTTACATAGACATTTTCTTACATATAGCATTAGCTTTCGCCAGCTACCACAACTAGGGAGGGTCTGCTAAATGACAGTGACTTTCCATAATGCCATTCATCTATTAGCGTTGCATCATAAGCCATTAGCGTTGTGTCTTAGGTAACCGGAGAATGTAGAAAATCTGTGATTTTTCTTTTTTTGTTTTTGTACCATGAAAGTGACTTGCCTAGACCAATTGTGCCATTGCTGCCTCTGAGGGGACGTTGACTGAGCCTTTTAGCCACGCTCATACATTTTAGCGCTTTGACTTGAAAACAGGGCTTCGTCTCCTGAGATAGACTTGGTCCCCAAATCCCCAGCACCCTCTTCTCCCACCTGGATTGAAGGGCGGAAAAGTCTTAAATGTTTTTTGAAAGAGCGTCCTTCCAGAGCCGAGTGACGCCTTTGCTTGCTGTCACATGAAAGTCGACCTTGGCGTTGGCCCTTGGGTTAATTTGGCATCACGCTGCCATTGATTGCGTTCAAAAGCGTCTTGGTCAGACCGTATATACTGTACTTGTCACCATGGTAATAAACTAGTCGCAAGTTCATTTGTAGTCCTATTCAATCTAAACCTAGACCTTAACGAGACCTATCCCTCTGCAGGTAGATTAACATATTGTATTGTATTGTATTCAGGCTTTACCTAAATTGGGTGTGATTTGAATGGGCATTTGAGTGGGCATGGAAAAGCGAACATCTAGTCACAATTCTCGCACTTGGATTACAATGAATCTTCCAAGGAGGGCTGGGCGAGATGTCTAAAAATTGTATAAAGATACGAGTAAATCTTATTAGTTGATATCATGAACCATAGGTCCATAGGTGCAGATACTGTGTCACTGAATGTGTGTGTGTGTGTGTGTGTGTGTGTGTACGTGCGTGCGTGCGTGCGTGCGTGCGCGCAGGGTTTGACATTAAACCCCTTTTCACACTGCACCTGCTTAATGTTAGAGGGTACCGTGGGAGCACGGAATGCTAACATTGAAGCCTTTCAAGAAGTAAAAATTCAGACAAGAAGTAGATTGCGCCTTGACCAGATGTAATCTTTTGTTATTGCTAAAGAAAGGCCCTGGCCTTGCTGATTTTTAGGAGGGGTTGGGGAAGGCGAGCTGCCGAATAATAAAAAATGGAATGGTGCATTTTTTACTCATGACCCGGTGAGAACTTCAGAGTTTAATCAGTCCTTTGTGAGCTGCAGTTCCACCAAGACCGCTTTGATGTATATTTCAGGCTGCGCAGGGAGCAGTATCTTAAACGGTATGTCTTCTCTCTTGTGTCCCAAAGCCGGGAAACTGAGACACCGCATTTATTGAGACTTCCTCTGTTATCCTCATCCCGTTACATGTAAATAAGCCCGCCAAAATAGCACTAAATCAGTCCGCAACCTCCGCTCCAATTGGGTCATGATGACGCTGCTCTCGAATTGAACATTTTTCAATTCCAGGTATCTTGCCACCATGGCCTGGGCCACTGCCCCACTGTCCCACTCTTTCGGGCCATGACCTACCTCAGATGCTGATTGGACCAAGTCCCTGAACATTTTTGGCCGCTGAAAATCGGCCAAAAGTGCACTTTCAGATTTCGCACGCACACAGACCATTAAACATATATGACACATGAATAGACCCGGAACCTATGTACGTGTATATAGGTTTGTAGTGAGTGTGAGGGCAGAGTCTTTTTTTTTTTTTTTTTTTCCAACAAAATGAACATTTTGAACATCTTCCCTGCATTTTTGTCATCACCAGGCACCCTTGCCATCCTGATCCCGGAGCTGGATCTGGTCATCTCGCTGGTGGGCTCGGTCAGCAGCAGCTTCCTGGCACTCATCTTCCCACCCATCTTGCAGGTGCTCACCTTCCACGGCGAGGGTTTGTCGCCAGCGTCGCTCGCCAAGAACCTGGTCATCAGCTTTGTGGGCCTGGTGGGCTTCCTGGCGGGCACATATGTGGCCATCGAGCAGATCGTTGCTCGCAATGCGCTCAAACGTGAGCTCCAGTAGCCACAGCGCCAAGACTTTTTATTGAGGGCGGGATGGTTTTAATTCATCATCACTGTAGTGCATGTGTGTTTCCACCATGTCGTACGCTACTCAGTCCCGTCAGGTAGGGGCTTGTTATTTTTTACGTTTTGAGTTTGTTGACGTTTAGTCAAACTACCTCAACATTTTTTTCTGCAATGTACTGGCATGCTTTTTAGTACCTGGCTTTTACTTTGAAGCCCACATCCCATTGATGGGTGAATGTTTGCGAGTGTTTGCGAAGGCACGTTCGCCAAATGTTTGCCAACAGTTTTAATGTTGTTTTTTTTTTCTTGTAAATTTTAAAACACGTTCTAGATTTCCTTGAGACAAGAAAAACTGTCAGCGACCATTAAAACAGTTGGCGAGCATCTGGTAAACATCTTTGCGCCCTTGAACGAGCCCTGACCAAAAAAAAAAAAAAAATCAATGTCCGCTACCCCGCAAACACTCGGAAACGTTTGCCGCTTAGTGGATTACAGGCTGTATTTATAATTTTGACTAGCACCTGATCAACAAAATTGAAGAAGCACTTTTATTTTTTGCCTTATGCAGTAAAACCGCATGGAAAATGGATGTAAAGATGATACAAACCAACATTCTAATATGTATTTTAAAGTTGGAAATGCAGGTTGTGCTTTGAATTTATTAACAGGGACCAGTTTGAAATAATTTAAACCAGTGGTCATTTTCTGGACAGTTTTCCAAAGATATGTATTTTTTTTCTTTAATTAAGTGGACACTTACATTACTCACAAAAAGTTCAGGATATTTGGCTTTCAGGTGAACTTTCAGGACAAGCCTAGAATGCATTCAAACCTTTCCAGGTGAACTTAATTTGACCTCCTTTAAACTTTTGAATGCTCATGTCCAACTGTTAAATGCTTCAGTACGTACTTTTTGCACAAGTTGCCGTTCTCTCAGGAGGATCTTAACGGAAAAATTCACATTAAAAACCAATAAATGTCCTGGTTCAAAGAGAGAGCTGCTGTTTAGGTGTTCAGTCGACCTCATCATGCTGTTCACATTTTGACATCCTGAGACCAAGACGACACCTAACAATGGATCAACAGTAACTTGCCATTGTGATGCTTCAAACTGGACCTTCTCAGACGGAAATGGCCCCTGATCTTAGAATGTCATTGGCAGGTTGCAACTGTGATACTGAGAGACTGGAATAGTCACAAAAAGATGTAGAAGTGGACGTCCTTTGGCCAGATCCCATACTGATGACCGCTACATTGGGAACAATGCCCCGAGAAACCTGATGATGAATGCCACTCAAGTTCAGGCACATTTAAGGAAGGGGAGATCCACCCAAGTGTCACGTCAGACCATTCAAAACCATTTACGGCCGCTTGGTTTGCGTGCTCGACGACCTGCGTGGGCCAGGGAGCATTTACGCTGGACGAGGGACCAGTGGGCCTCAGTGCTGTTCTATGATAAAAGTCGACTCACATTGAGCAGAAAAGATGTCCGCCAACGATGTCGGTGACTTCAAGGAGAACGAGCGCTCTGCATCAGCCACTGTTGTCACCAGACGAGCTTTTGGTGGTGGCCATGTTACAGTGTGGGTGGGTGTGTCCAGTCGGAAGAGAATTGCCCTACACTTTGTGAATGGTACAGTGACAAGCCCATACTACCTGAATAACATTCATCCAGTAATTGTGCCCCTACATGAACAACACGCGCGTAATATCATCTTCCTGGACGACAATGCTCCAGCTCATCGAGGTTGCATCGGCAAGGAACGGCTGTTGGAGACTGGTGTACCTCAAATGGAATGGCCTGCGCTTCCTCCAGATGTGATTCCTATTGACAAGCTACGGGATCATCTGAGTCGCCGTGTAGAGGCTCAAAACTTTGCTCCCCTGAACCTCAATGACCTGAAGGCCGCCCTTCAAGAACAGTGGGATGCCATGCCTCAGCTGACGGCAAGTAAACTTGTGAGCAGCATTGGACGGCGTTGTCAAGTTGTAATTGATGACCAAGGGCACATGACGAGTTATTGAGGTGTTCACATTTTTTGTTGTGGTGTACCCACCATTGTTGTCATAATTTGTTTCACTGAATTGTTTGAGATGAGGAAATCAGCAGCACATCCTTCTACTTAAATGTCGTACTTCGGTGATATCACTGTAGCGTGGACTTTTTACATTTTCCATAAATTTCACCTGAAAACCAAACATCCCGAACTTTTTGTGAGTAGTGTATGGAGCAAGCAGCACAAGGAATTTCAATTGACGTCAAAAAGTGCATTTGAGCAAGCATTTGCAACTTCCAGATTTCAAAAATTAGAAATGAATGGTGATCTCACTGCCATTTCAACCAAATTTCACACACGTTGACTCTCAATACAACTTGTAATATCGCCTTGTTAGCTTCTCCACATTTTATTGCACTGTTGAGTGAGGGGTTGGGTTTCGAGATATAAGGCTCGAGTAGATTAAGGGATTAGAGTTGAATGTTGGGTTTAGCAAGCGGTTTAGGATAGGGGTTAGTTTTTAAGATTAGGCCGGGTTTGGGTTTAGGATTAGCGTACCCACTGGCGTATTATTGAATTAATAAACCCAATCAAAGCCAACCTTGCAAGGACCAAATTCTATCAGCTCTTTTCATCCTTAAATGCCCTTTTTTGATTCTGTTCAATTTTGCATTGTATTGTGTATTACAAAAAGTTTTTATTTTTAAGTAACGCAGCGCATCTTTTTAGATTGTTTGTCAAAAGTGTCATTAATCACAATGAACTGTCATTCACAATTCATCATCCATATGTGTAATACTGTACACACCAGCGAGCATTCCATCAGACTGACGCAAGATCTGGCAGGCCATCACTGTTTCCGTCAATATTTCAGGCCGAGCCAGGAGGGCCCAGTCCATCCCTCGTCTGCGACAGCCAATCGTCATCAAGCGTAATTTCTACGTCGGACACAGAAGGCGCCGCACAAGCCACCCCGCAGCCAAATCAAGAAAAAAAAAATTGAAAAACAACAGACACACATGGACAGCGTTGTGATTGGTGAATTAAAAACGACATGGGACACATGTCAATGAGGTCTGTGGAACTCAAAGGTATACAACACTCATTTTTTTAATTTATTCTATATTTGGCTGCGTGTCAGGTGTGGCGTGGTGCCCATAAATCCGTTCTCGACGCTGTTTGCCTGTCGTCGACGACTCTGACAGACTGGGCTGCCTTGAAATACTAACGGCAGCTCACCGACTCTGCTGACGATCCCCATCTCTGCTAATATATATTCAAAGTGGGAACCATATGTTGTTATGAGATTTATATAGATCTAGTAAAGAAGACAACCCACCACATGCTGGATTATGCCAATGCATCTTAAGCCTGGTACACACATAAGGATTTGTAACATTTTAAAAGATTTGATGTCTGTGAGAGATGCCGCACGTTTAAGGACAGAAAATGAGGCATTGAAGAGTATTGGTCCTATTGTGTGTGTTCTGCTCTGATGTCAACACAGAACAGCACCCATAAAGATTCTGTTCCACCACCGGTCTAGAATCCAGTCCTCAAAAGGGGGACGGACCTCTCATATAATCACGCGTGATCTCACAAACATGAAGCCGAAGAGAAACTTCCAGGTATGCGCCAATGAAGAAGACCGCAAGCGGTAGTGTGGTAAATTTGTGATGTTGGCAAGAAAATGCTTGCTTTGGAAAATAGTTCCTCTGGGAACACCACTTTTTACAAAGAAAACATCCGGTACAACATGTTTTATTTTATTTCCCACCTTTTCATCAATCAGGGCGCTTCTTGGATTGGCTGCATTCAATTCATGTCACAGATGACTCTGGAAACAACACACCTCCGACTAAAAGATAAATCTTTTAAGACAATCTTATCTGTGGTTCAAAAGGGGCAAAACTGGGACTAAAACAGCCTGATTATCGTTTTGTGTGTACCCGGCCTTAGCTGCTCTGTGACTGAGGGATTTGGAAACATTGAATTTATTCACATCGTGACCATAAATCACATCAAGTGTAATGAATCTGTGTCAACTGTGAAACTGCACGTTTGAGTCGTTTATTCTGACAGACAAGTGCAAGTGTTTGTACATTTTGATTTCCACACCTACTTCCCTGCCAATAATAAAGGACGTTGAAGATTCAGCAGCATTTGATGTTGTTTTTTAAAAATGTTTTTTTTTTAATTTAAATTTTAAGATTTGACATCACGCAAACAAATCTGTCGTGTGTGGGAAAATGCCTCAAAATCTAACAAAACAAGTTCAAAGTCATGGTTACGTTCTTCGCTGTTTTATTTGGATGGTCTTCTGTTGTCTTCGATGACATGATGTCTGCAAATCATGTAAGATTTTATCTCAGTGAGATATTCAAGGATGATTTAAAAATAATAATAATTTGAGAAACAAATGCGAGATTTTAATCAGGCCTATACTTACAGAAACCCTCTGGGTTGGCGTGTGGTCGCTACAGAATGGGGTCGAAAAACAGCAGTCTTAAACGTTGGCACAGTGCAGGAAGCGGTTCGAGCACACAAGTTGAGTTTTGTAAGACTTTCAAGAGATCCATTTTTAAAATGAGAGCAGAGTTGTCAGACAATCGCTAGCCCCTATTAATCATGCTAATTGCTGAATTTGACTGAGTTTTTGGAACAGTGTCCTTAAATCTCGTCCCGAATGATCTGCTATCGCTTTGATTGTGGCCTTGAGCTAAGTGTGGCCTTGAGCTAAGTCTTCAAATTTTATAAAGCAATGGTCAGACATAGAAGTGGTATACGGTAGTACCCTTACATTTGAGGTTGCTAGCATCTAAATCTATAGCGTTATCATTCTTATGGTCCGTGCCGTCTATTATCTGCATGAAAACCAAAAGCGTCAATTATCTGAAACGCCACGGTAAATTTTCCTACAGGAGATTCATTTGAATATTAAAGTCACCCGCGATTAATTAGTGTATTATCTCTGCGAGTCACCAAGTCAGCCACAAATTCAGAAAATTCATCTAGAAAGCCACTGTAAGCCTCGGGAGGTCGGTAAATCACAAATAAATAAATAAATAAATAAATAAATAACGGCAACGAAGCTGTGCATCGCATAACAAGAACTTAATACATTTTAAAGGCGTTTCAGCGAGGACTAAGTTTGAGAAGGGATTTGGAAAGGCTACACCCCCGCCCTTCTCACGAGGATGTGCCGCACGTGAAATGGTATTTCAATTAATTTCAGTGGGGAAAATTCTAAGCGATACAAGCGAGTTGAACGTGTTCACAGAAAGAATTAAACTCATATGTCAAAACTCCATGATATTCCTTTTTTCCCTCTATGTCACGTTTTTTTCAAACCCAGTTTTTTTCCCTTCACCTCCTTTGGTCAGTGATCGCTTTCAGATCACATAAGCTCGAAAACAACAATTTAA